CCTCACAGAAAACCGACGTGAAACAACGCTTGCGTTGTCTTTCGTCGTGTGAGTGAGGTTACCGGAGACCCAATTACCTTCCCCTTCCCCTTCCCCAATCTCCCCAATCCCTGAATCCCCAACGATCCTCAAACTCCTAATCCCCAAAAAGCCGGTGAAGCACTTGTAACACCTCTGGTGTTCCAGGTGTCCATGTCCGGTCCATGTCCGGGCGACGCCGATTGCTTACCATCAGGTGATCCGTCGGCTCGTGTACCGGCTTATGCCATAAAAAAAAAATTATCTTTGTTACCAAAAGCACAAAACAAAAACAAGGATACAAAGGAACCATAACAAAAATGCCACGTAACCATGTAACAGAATTAATAACTCAACCGCGATACACAAAAAAACACGTGCAATTTAGAAACTTTATAATTTCTTATAACAAAACAAAAAAAAAAAAAATATGGCGGAGACACTTCCTAATATCGTTGATTCTCTAAGACATAGAATGTTTTTTGTCTGTTCATTCAGATTACACGCAAGCCGACGGCGCACATCGTTCCCTTGACCTACATAAGGGGAGGTCGCAACCAAGAACAATGTCAGTTTAGAAAGTACACATTTATACCTATAGGACTACGAAGGGAGGACTCTTTACATTTCTGTCGTTTTTATGAAGATTTTGAAGTAAAATTTTTACGTCAGTGGCGTTGGTGGTATGGTGTACTGATTATAATGCCGGTTTTAATATTTGAGTCATTGTGTAAATGGTTGTAGTGTCCAAATTCTCTCTCGGCCCAAATTCGAAATCGATACGGATAAGGTGACACTTAACAGAGGGTGTTTTCTTTTGTTTTACTATATTTTCATGTGTATATGGTTTTTGAACTGTCGCATATAGCTAGGTTCGTGTATTTCTTATTTCACGGGACAGCTAGGATCTAGGTGAAATGAAACTACTCAAATGAAATAAAACTTTATACATATCATTTTGTTCTACATTTCAAACGAGATGTTTAGAAATTTCTGAACTAAAATGAAAGCTTCCGAAAATTCAATTTACTTTGACTTTGACGCGTTTAATAAAGCGTAAAGTATGGTGGGGTAGAAATTTGCGAAAATTGCATCCGAAATTCCGAACCAAGCAATTGACCGCTAGCAACCAGCGGCTGGCGGTCTTTGTAACAATGCTAGAATATTCTATCAGCTGATAGCACCCTCACATAGACCTTTTTGGACAGTTAAACTGCCTTTGAACCTTCGTGCTTTCATCAGACATCCTTTTGGAAAGCCTTTACAGTTCTGTCAGCCTAAAAGCATCTAACTCTTCTTTGCCCCGGATTCGTCATATCAATTTTTGAAAAGTCAGAGCATTCAGTTTCATATCATAAACATAAATGTCTCCGGACAGGTCAGGCAACAGCGCCAGAACAAAGTCAGGACGATAAAACGTTTCTGTTGTTATTTCTTATATTCTAGAAATTGATTAATAGAAAATTGAAACACGAGTAATCAAATAAATCGAACTTTTGTTTATTATTTTTTCTATTAATAAATAACTAACTCATAGTACCTACTCAGTTATTGTTTGAACAGTCGTTAGACTAAATATTGAGAATTTTACAGACCAAGAAGGGCCATTTTTGTTAAATTTTACTATTGGCCACTTCTAAGGTTATGAAATAGTTGATTACGAGTGTGAGAGAGCATAGATTAATAGGTTCAGATTTGTCACATTTATCGATACCCGCGGAATGAGAAATTGTGAAAAGAAATGTATTCAAATTTACCATCAACTCATTTCTAACAATTGTAAATGTTATAAAATACGATACGTACTATTTCAGGGAAGAAAAAGCGACATTGTACAAACTAGATTCTACATTCCATGACTAGAAATAGGTAATCAGACGCTTGGTCAGGCATTATTAGCTTTAATACTAACTTAATACGAATACAATTACTCTGGTACCCACGTAACACGCGTAGATTGCATTTCAGTTAATTACAATTATAATAGCCCTCCTACGTAATTATGTTAAACAATATTTTGATGAGCGTATCAAAATATTGATTGCATACAAATACGTAATTGGGTGTACAATATCAATGAAGTTATAGTGACATCATTTAGAGTATGCCTAATTAAACATTCCACGGTTTTAATTTAAAAGTTATTAGTAAATTAATATAGAACATTGTTTATATATACTTGGTCGTAGACTTATTTCTTGTTGTAAAACCATGAAGCTGATAAAAGGAAGATTTAAAAAAATACGAGCAATAGTTCTCATAAAATGAAACCGAAATTCGTAAAAAATCTCATGCTTATCACTAAACCGATACAGATACTAAACACAATCAGCATAAAAAGAAATCAGTTTCACTACATTTTATTTAAGCATTGAAGATGAACTGGAAGTGGTGCAGAGCACATAACTCCATAATATTCATGAAATTATGTAGGTATGAAAAGCACAGCCAGAAATACTTTAACGGTGCGAAGGTCGAGCCGCTTTGCGTCATAAAAGATTGTCAGAAAAGTAAATTCTATCCTGACGGAATGTTTTATACCCCTATAGTTGTGTGTACATTACAGTCCCATAGATTATGGTGACGACTATACAATATCAACGGTGTTACTAGCATTTGTTTAGTTGTCGCTTAGCGTGGTTTTTGCAACAATTTCTATAGGAATGTTTTAGAAACTTTGGCGAACATAGTGATTTCTTTTTTTTTTTGTCAAAATGTGTTTTGAGGAAAATAATGAGCAAAACATCCCATGCGTATCACTTATTACGACAGAAATAATAATAGTGGATTAAGATTTCTTAAAGCATAAATACAATTTAATCCTATCGAGTTAATTTTTCGATTCTCGGCCTTACCAATTACGTAATTGGTTGATGAATGAGAATAGTTTAGTAACGTAAATTCCGGTGAACCGCCCCCGGGCTTTGCGATAGTGTTGGGATGAGGAGCTGATACAGACACTTGTAACTTATAACTGTCATAAGTTGAAACGATTTTATACTCCTTTTTAATCCGTCCCTAATATATAATAAATATTGTTATTACGTAATTGTCGATTACAATAATTGTAATTCTAAGAGTACAATTACAACTTTTCGCATTGTTTTATAGTATTAGCCCTCGCTAAATAATATAGTGATATACCTATGGACTGAAGACAATTTCTTAATTTTGTATGTGGTTAAACAACTCATTCCACTTACTGTTAATTAATTCGCGCAACAGCTAGTTTTGTCATAAAAAGGACTCGAAGTTTTTTGTATAAATTAATTTACCGTCTACCGAAGACTAAATAAACAGAGTAAGTAAACAAACAAAAAATTAAAGAGCAGTCTACAAAGCAAATCTCAATTTCAACCAATTATCATAATTGTGTAAGCCACAGGCAAAAAGAAACTAAAACATTTGCGTAGTATACCCACAAAGAATTATTTCAGTCGAATTTACTTCAAAGCGGATTATTTTTATGCAGAACTTTGCATTGTAAGCTGCCTTTGTTAATTACCACAGTAAATTAGAACACAAAGCGTACTCCACTCTTAAACTGATGTACAATGGATTCCTTTACTTTTGTGACATATCTTTCAAAATAACTTACTTTTTTAAATTAATATTTTTATAATAACTATCGTGAGACATACTAAATTACCGCGCGCGCTGCTCATGAAGAAGAACCCCTCTGTCGTTCGAAACTAGTAGAGCTTTTCTCAGTATATTCACGTGAGTAACCTGCGATTTTTAGTTAATTTAATGTCTAAATACTCCAACGCTACTAAATGGTAAGAGTCGTGCCAAATCTGCCACGACATTTATCTACGATATGTCAACCGCAGCCTGCCGATATCGCCTAACATATTATAACTAATAATAATAACTACAGCCTCACAGAAAACCGGTTTGAAACCACACTTGCGTTGTGTTTTGTCGTGTGAGTGTGGTTACCAGAGGCCCAATCCCCCCCTAGCAATTTCCCCAATCCCTGAATCCCCAACAATGCCCAAAAGGCCGGTAACGCATTTGTAACGCGTCTGGTGTCCATGGGCGAATCTGATTGCTTACCATCAGGTGATCTGTCTGCTCGTTTACCGCATTATCCAATAAAGGCCTAGGCTATTAACGTTTTAAACCACAACATTGCTCACTAGTTGACTTCACTAACACGAATCTAAACCCTGTTAATGCAACACAACAGCAACTAGAAGTTTAATCACTAAAATGTTGACACCACTGCACTAGCCCTCGCTAACATGGAAACTCATTATGACATCAATTTCAGAACGCCATCGAAGCAATAACTACACTGTCGATGGCGCTGTCAGAGAAAATGGTTAATTAATTTTTCATTCCCATAACAAACGACTGACATGATTTAATAAACTGATTTTTTTAACTACTAATTGCATTTTTGTGTCTACATTTAATCAGCGGTAGTGTGTGGTGATGTGATGACATTGTTCACAATATTTTGTTAAGTTTCTTTTAGTACCTACAACTGATGGATGACTTGCATTAGCTATCAGAAACTAATCATTTTGAAACATATACTAAACTTTGCATTATTTCAAAGTATAGACTTTCAAATTACGCTAAAAGTGTTAGATATAGAACCATATCTATTCCAGGAATCGATATGCCTAATAATATTGAAATTTTGCAAGTACAATACCAAGAACACTTGCTTTACCCGGCAACGAACCTCAGAACCCTTACTGCCAATTTCTTTAACATGTCTCAATCCAAAATGTGTGGATTTAGATCGATTTTTGACAGAAACTCCGTACAACAACTGTCAATAATCGATCTAATCGACAGATTTTGGATTAAGATAGTTTGTTGAAATTGACAGTTCGATCAAAAAACAGCTAACGATCAACTAAACACTTTCAATCAATTAATTTTCAAATCGCTACTCAAATCACGACGTAATCTTTATGACGTCTATTATACATGTATAGACTAAATTGCAACATTTTCTTCATCAGGAACACTTCTGGCTTACACCCTGGTGTCAACCTGCGTACTGGTCCTCCGTTATCAACCCCGAACGACGAACCTGATTGAACTTCTGCCTTCACACATCCGAACTCCTGTCGACCCTGAAGGCACCGCCAGCGGCACCCGCGAAACGACGTTCACTGTGAGTTATAGATTATAATTAATTAATTACATATAGTTATGGTTTAGTAAAGCAAACTGTCCGAGGGAAACCAACTAGTTCTTGACTATGATTATGGGCCCTGCTGTGGCTCAAAATTTACCTACATAGGACGTAAACGGTATTTACGTAAGACTCATTATAGTATACACAAGTCTACTTTATGGTTGTATTTTTAAAATTTATATCAAAAATATTAAAGGATCAGTCCATTCGCATCAGAAATAAAAATCGTTAGCAATATACGAAAATGACTTAAAACCGGGTCAGGTCATAAAACTAGATCTTTCTGCAAACGAGAACAGCAACAGAAATAGACGGAAAAGAACTTTATTCGAACACTAAAAGCGTCGATAATGGAAGTTAGCAACAATTTTCACGAAGAAGCGCAGGGAAGCACTCAGAAATTCCTTTCGAAATCGAAAAGTTCGTTTTTAATCGTAAACCCAAAAAATAAAGCGGGATGTTGAAAAATTTCTCATTGGCTACGAGAACGAGAAGTTTTTCCGAGTTGCCACGAAGTTTCCTCGGATTCCTTTAGATATTGGCCAGTAATTAGTCGCCGGAGGAAGATAAATTGTAACAAGAGAAATAGTTCGACGTTTGTTCTTGTTGTGCTCGAACCTCACCACTGGGTAGGTAAAATCATTAACATTTTCTTGATGAAAATTAATCTAAGGCTGATTAGGTATTTCTAGCTTTTGGAACTTTACGAAAGAGTTTTGAATAGCTTTTGTTAATTATAATAGTTACTAATATACAATTTTATAATATTTCTTTGCTAGACACGAGTATATAGTACCTACTTTCCTACTATGCGTTGGTCATCAGTAAATCGTTATAAATTACAATTTACTATTTTTAATAAATTACAAGTTGATTGTCTCTTCCTTATACACATCTACGAATCTTCTATTTCTGAAAGAGCTGTTTAAACCCGCCAAGAGTATCAACAAAGCTTGATAATCCAGCGTTGCTTAGAATCTTGATTGAGTGCGGATCAAGCGGATTACGAAGATACATTAACGTTTAAAATGCTTTATATGTTCATGGATTTAGAAATAGAACAGTCTAAAAATATACATACATAATATCACGCCTTTTATTCCCAAAGGGGTAGGCAGAGTGCACCTCTGCCTACCCCATTACGGCATTACGGCACTTAACGCCACTGTACCATGTAAAACCCACTTTTCACTAATTTATGTTTTGAGTCCCATGTAATAGAGGTGACCCTATTGCCATATACCGGGCACAATTCCAGACTCCGTGCTACCACTGAGAATTTTTTTAAAAACCTCGTCAATCTTTGCCCGGCCCGGGAATCGAACCCGAGACCTCTTGCCCGGCAGTCGCACTTGCGACCACTCGGCCTACAAAGCAGTCAGGCAGTAAAAATATGACATAAGTATTAATAACATAAGTACGTATACTCATTTTTCTCAATCCAGGATCTGAGGATCTATTAGTTTATGTGCAAAGGTTAAAACTCAAACTTTAAATTAAAATACGTAACATCTTTTATATTTTCCCAATATTTATTAAGCTCGTGTCCACTACGGCCCACAGCGTGTGTAGCCCACAGTGAATAGTTATATTAAAAAAATAAGCGATTCATTTAAATGTCAATATGAATTGGTTTAACTCAATCCCAAAGTCTTCTGAATAGCTTCTCAACGCGCACTTTGATGTACAATAACGGACGTGTGTAAATAAAACTATTCCTTACAAAAACCTACTTACATACAAACATGACCTAAACCAACACATCATTCACGAAAAAAGACAAAAGGTCGAATTTTTATTCTAGGAAACTCCTTTCGTAGTATTTGCTGCCCACGCGTAAACTTTAGTGATCGCAAATTAATCAGAGTGCCAGAGACTGAAGGGTATAAGGGTCTTTAAGACCCGAGTCAATAGGTTGCTTATGGCCTGACGTGATCTATCCTAGGCCGCATCATCGCTTACCGGATAGTGGTCAAACGTCGACTGAACACAAATAAAAAGAAATTACCAAAATGCAGTCTCACAACAAAGGGACACATTCAATAAATTTCGCTCTATCCTCTGTGTAAATACTGCAAAGTCTACATCAAAGCAGGATATTGCTGTTTTTTCTGTTTGTCGCCCACTTTTGATATTAACGTGACTTTTGGGCTATCTAAACAACGGTACAGGCTGCAGAATTCTGTTTGTGAAAGTAGAAAAGTCAAAAAAGCTTTATGCTACGAATTTAGGTCTTTAGTCATTTGTCAGATATTTTGTTTGTATTTGCCATTTTACACAATAGCAGGTACGACAATAGATACCTGACTTTTGGTTGAAATGTTTCTAAATGGTAATTAGTAAGTTAAATTATTTTAAAATTAAATACATCAAATTATATAAAAAAAACTAAGTAATTTTGTACCGAGTAATGCCATAGCCATGATACTCGTATCAGTCATAGTACATAGGTACGTTTATAACGTGTTTCATCTAAATATAAACAACGATATGATAAACAATATTTTCTCGTTCATTCATTACATTTACCGAAGTGAATCATTAAATAACTCTCAGCTTCTGAAATCCGATTAGTACGTAACAAAGGGAGGAAAATTTGGCTTTTTTAGAAATAAATATTGGAGAACACGAAATGTTTTTTTTATAAATTCAGTGATAAGTACAGTTACGTAAGTACATGTACTTATTACGTTGATAAAATTGGAACCGATTTTAATAGATCCTATACTACTGAGTTTAATAGTAATCTTCTTATGCACTAGCTACTTCCACTCGGTTTCACTCGCTCTGCTCGGCGCCTATTAATCGTAGCGTGATATTTTATAGCCTATTGCCTTCCTCGATAAATGGGCTATCCAACTCAGAAATAATTTTTCAAATATGACCAGTAGTTTCGGAGATAAGCGCGTTCAAACAAACAAACAAAAAAACAACTCTTCAGCTATATAATATTATTATAGATTTGATTTGAATCAAATTTTGGCTATGGACCAACTCATTCGAATAGTGATTTCTAGTCTAAATATTAATATCTATCTAGTTAGTTTCATTTGATTACACAATTATTAATTTCTACAGGATTTAACAAAATAATTTAATATTAAAATGTTTCAAGTAAACTTTAGACGACGGAAATTAAATTAGGTTACGCTTGCTTTGAGTTGATCGTAGAGCAGGACATCCTAGCCTATTTGGTTTCTGATCACCGATCCGTTCTTGCCTTAATATTGTTGAGCCTGAATATGATTAATCAAGCGGTCTATATATAATCAGGACGCTGTGTAAGATAATTAATGTGTTATAGGTGGCTCGGAGGTAATTAGTTTAAGACAAGAGAAGGCGCACGTGTTCACTCGCGTACCTATTAATATTGCATCATTTCTCCTGTATTCTAGTACTGGGGCTTTGTTCGTACAATTTATAGTCTGGTTCTGTATTGTGTTGTGTTTTGTGTGTGATGATGAAAACTAACTGAGATTGACTGCAGATTTATCATAATAGCTAGACTGAGTGCCGAGTGAGTTTGATACTCGAATAGAATAATTGTTGTGTGTTCCAAAAATTGTTAATCTGGGTCTGGGTGGAAATTATGTATTTGTAAACAAAAGCAAATCCTAGTGTAGAGTAACAGTTGTTTAAGTTTTAATGTGTTTCTTTTTATATAATAGCATATTTATTTCTTTTCCTGCCACAGGAATTCCAGTTGAAACATGTGGGGCCTATTTACTCTCTTTTTATATATGTATTGTCATTTGTGTGTGTTGTATGTGTGTACATAAATAATAAATAAATAAATGCCGTAGTTATTACCGTTTAATTTGTTAGTACTAATTTTATTTAAGTTTTTATTGGAATAAATTATTATATCCCTTAATAACAAC